GTTTCTTATGTATATAGATGCAGTGATGTATCATTTTCTTTACCTTCTGGACTAGATTCCCGTTCAAAAATTTTTACTTCGAATTTTTTTTTATCTTTGTTCTTCATCAACGCGTGATAAAGTGCAAGTCCTCCTGGACCTGCACCGATAATAATAACTTTTGGATTATTTGCGTTTTGCATTTCTTTTTTATTTAATGTTAATTCAAAAGGTTTTTTCTTGTATAAATTGTATTGTTTTAAAAGTTTATTATGAAAGTATATTTATAAAATAAATATTTGAATTCTTGATTATCAATTAACTTGTTTCCTTTAATTTTTTAACGAATTGAAGGAAGATGACTAGTCTAACGAAGGTTATTTATATATAAAAAAAAAAAATAGATGCGGATAAATTTAACGTTAAAACAAATGTAATAGCAACCAACTTACTTTTGGACGTACAAAAATTTAGCCGAAATTTATCCGTATTAGATTTCTAGAAACACAATGAGTATGCAAAGCTGATCCGGCACTGAATTTATCCGTTGCCAATTGACTGCATATCATTTTCGTAATACATAACTATTTTTATAACCATTGAACGGTACGGTTAATTATTTCATCTTGGCACATAATTGCATTTCTAGAAATCTAATACGGATAGATTTCGGCTAAATCATTTATTGACTGTACGTTAAGCTACCATTACTTTTGTTTGTTAAAAATATATACAGTTTATGCCTTATGGCCTTTCCTAAAAAGGAAGGAATAGGTATAAATTTGGTTAGCTTTATGCAAGAACTATGAGGCCGTTTTATATTAATATATCAATATCAATTTCAATTTCGATTAATATAGGAACAACGGTTGCTTAAGGTACATGATTTTTTTTTAAAAATAAATGGGACAGAAGAATTAATTGAATAACTAAAGAAATTTTTTTTTATTATGTTATTATAAAAAAAAATAAAATAAAAAAATAATGATTATGATTACTAATATTTTTACCTTCGCCACAATAACGAACTAGACATTTCTGTTCAAAAGTTCCATCCAGTTTTTAAAGAAACTGATCAAATCTAAATAAATAAAAAAAATAAAAAAAAAATAAAACAATTGAGTCAGCAGGTTAAATAAAACTTTTATGAAAAATAAGACACCAAAGACAATTCCTAAAACCATCCATTTACCATGTGCCTCTTTTGTCTAATATATTCGTGTCTGAATTCCATTTTCTTATTAATTCATTTATATTGTTTTAATATCAAGAACAATTACTAAAGTTTTGTTCCTATAAAGATTTTTATCCTAAATAAGAAATATATTAGTAAATTATCAGGAGATTAGAAAGCAATGTTAGAAATTAGAATTGATTTATTGTCTGGAGCGAAGCGAAGGGCTATATATTATTAGGCGGTTTATAAAAATTAAGGTCACGTGGCGATGTCCGGATGTCCGCACGCGTCACGTCTAATTGAAAATTTTGGGCTAATAAAAAAATCATAAACATAAACAAGATAAAAAAAAAAATAAATTTGTAAAAAGTGTTACGAATAAAAAATAAAGTTACGTATGTTACAAATGATATTACGTGTTACAAAGATTTACTTTAAATTTTTTATTTTTTGTTAAAAAAAAAAAAAAAAAAAATAGAAAGAATTAGAGAATTAGAAACATTAGTTATTTTATATCTTTTTATTAATGATTTTTAATTTGTAATTTTATAAAAATAATTAGTAAAATTTAATATGATGGTATAAAAGTTTTCGCTTCAGACTCATAACGGTTTCCATTTCTTAGTTTAATAAATACTTTTTTGAGACTGAATTAATTCTGAATTTAAATAAAACTAATTCTAATTGAGTAATAAACTGAAAACTGAATTGCAATTAATTTTATAAACATTAACTAAGAAACTTAAATTTGAAAAAAAAGTAATTGAATAAAAAAACTTTACCTTACAATCCAACCTAATAGAAATTACCAAAAAAAAACTTATAAAAAGATAAACTTAAAAATAAATCTTGTGATTAAATATGATACACCTAGTCTATCACTAAAAAAAAAATTAAAAAATTAAATAAATAAAAAATCCTTTATAGCAGATCAAACCACCACTCAAAAAAAAATTTTAAAAAATAAAATTAGAATAATTAATAATCAAAAAAAACATAATATAAAAATGAAAAAAAATAACTTATCAAATACTAGAAAAATCAAATCATCTATTACTGTCTTAATATTTTTAAAAGCAAAAAAATAAAGAAAGTATTTCAACCCCAAAAAAAAAAATCTGAAGAAAAAGCATAATTTCTAAAAAATAATATAAAAAATAAATATTTGATGGCTGTGATTTAAATATAAAATGAAAATATCTGAATTATCTGGTAACTTCACAAATGATTCAATCTAAAAAAGAAAAAAAATAAGATTTTCTTAGAAAATTATTAGTCTAAAGTATCAAATTTCTTTTGATAATATAATATTAAGACCAGTTCCTGGCTGGCTATAACCATGATTCTAATTAAATCAAATCAAAATTAAAAATTGAGGTAAAAAATCAAAAACAAATATTTTATTTTTAAAGGTTTTTCCAAAGAAATATTATCTTATAAATCAAAATATTAATTACAATTTATATATTTAATTTATAAATATATTATAATAATTAATATTTTAAAATATAGAAGTGTTTTATTAATTATTTTTATGCTAGAAATGAAGAAATTTCAGATTGTATAATAAAAGTTTAAAAATAAATATGAAGTATAAAAAAAAGATGATAGCTTATAAATTCACAATATTGGCTAAATAAAAGAAGGCTCATTATTAATTTTAAATAAAAATTTGAATTAGTTAAAAGTTTTATATTTGATTAATCAATTATTTATAAAATTTATAATTAATTATTATTTAATTATTTATTGATTAATAATAATTATTCAAATTTTTCAAATTATCTAAATAATAAATTAATAAAAAAAACTAAATTATTAATTTAAATTATTTTATTAATTAAAATAAAATTATATTTTTTAAACTTATTTTTATTATCAGTAATAAAAACAATTTATATTGTATTAATTATTCTAACTATTATTTTTTACTATTTACTATAATCAGATTTCTTTTAAAAGAAACTATACAAATATTTGCTTTGCTAATCTACTAAACCTTTATTATAATATTATTATTTTATCAAATAGAGGTTAAAACTAGCCAAAAATTCTTTATCTAGTAATAACCAGTTAAAATATTTATGAATCAGTTAATTAACCAGTTAAAATTAATTTAGGTCAGTACTATAAATTTAGCTAGAATTAAACAACATTTTGCAATCATGAAAATCTTAATTTTAACTAGAAATTGAATTTCAGTTGGAGTTAAATTTATCTATTTTAATTGATGTAATTATCAAAACCTGCATTTTACAAATGTATAATATTTTATGAGTTCAATAACTTTAATAAGAACTGTATCTGCTTAATGTATTTCTGCTAATCAACATTAAGAGATTTATTTACAAATTAATTTTATTTATTTAACAATTATTCTTTTTTATTTTTTTTAATATCATTATTCTATTTCTTAATTATTTCTTTTCATTATCTTTCTTTTAATACAGTTGTTGTCATAAGTATCTGACTGCCTCTAACTTCGCCTACAAGTAAGTAAATTCAAAATTTTTTTTATTTAAAAATTACATAACTAACTAACTAAAATTAATGCATTGTGTAGTTACCATTTGACTCTATAAGTGCAGCTGTACGCGTTTTCATGCTAGCTACTAAATTTGTGGCAAATATAGGTGATAATTGATTCTATTCTTTTGTAAGTTCTCCCTTTAACCCTCTAATTGATTGAATTATTTTTATATATTAATTTTCATTAACCTCTAAATATTTTCTATAGAATTTTGGTCTGAGACATTGATGGCCAAGAAAGTACTTCAATGCCATTTTCTTTCTTCTATTTTTTTACGATTTTTGACCAATACTTTAGATCATTATCTTCTTGCAAGATCCAATCTATGTTACCTTTACCAAAAAGTTTAGAGGTGGAAGCTAGAAGACCCTGCTCATAAATAATATACATAAATTCAGCATTAAGGTTCCTCTAAAAACAAAATAGCTTATCAAATCCAGAAGCAGAAAAACATTCCTAAATATGAACTTTTAGTTGATGCTTAATAGAACAAATCACTTTTTTCTATCAGGAAACTGCCAAACCTTTTTTTAATGTATATAATTGAAATGTACTATCATCTGTAAAAACAATTCGATTCCAATCAAAATTCTTATGTTTTTTTGCCCATTGTAACCTTTTCTTTCGAGGAACTAGAACTAGATAACAATGAAGGTGGTAAGCAAATACAATATTTATTTTAAGTAAATTTTTTATAATTAATTAATATTTTATATATATTATGTGTTTTTTAGAATATTTTACAAAGAAACTTGATTTTTGACAACTGAATGACTTTTTTTCGGATAGTTGGATCGTCATTTTATTCTTTTTAAAGCTCACGTGATTTAAGATTGAATATATATATGTTACTTTTACCCTTAATGAGAGATAATTATGGCCGTAAATCGTTCGTGTTAATTTTGTTAGACTGAACATTAATTTCGGCCAGTTTGTCTTGTTTCCAAGTTAGACTGTCGTAAGGCCAGCTGTCCTTTATTAAAAATTTATTATAAATACGATGGATTTCTCTTGGGCAATTAGGCAGGGTCGTTTTCTTTATTTTTATCACACAATATATTTCTTCCCTTTTTCGCATTACGATATTGTCATTTCTTTTAGTTTTTATTTTTTACTTCTTAGATGTTTTTATTATTTTATTTTTTTTCTTTTATTTCGCGGTTTTAATTAATATTTATTTAACGGAATTTCAGAACAGGCATTGTAAATTAAAATTAATTGAATAATTTTATATCATAATTGCACTATTATAACTAGAATAAAAATTAAAATAGCGATTCTTTAGTCGAAATATATCGTGAAATTTTTCAAACCAAAATACTTTCTAATTTTGGTGATTTCAACAAGATAATGCGGATCATACACGTCGATTCTTGTGAATAATGTTCCGGTGATTGATTGACTTACTGACTTAAATCCGATCAAGATTTGTGGGCAATTCTTAAAGGAAGAGTAGGGAAAAAGGTTAATGATTAGATTAGGAAAAAAAAAATACTTATTACGGATGCTTTTCCAGGCATAATTCGGAGGGAATAGAAAAATCTCGATCAAAATATTTCTTTAATTTATCTGATAGTATGTCGGATCGGATTAGTATGGTTATAGAAAAAAAGTATACTATAAATCATTAAATTTTTATAATATGTTTATTTGCATATTATAAGCTAGCAATAATAAATATGCACTTGAGCAAGTATTTCATAGTAAAATACTGTACATCTGATTATTGCATAAATTCAAATGACAAGAATAAGAATTTACCCTTTAATGTTATACCTGCTAATTGTCCACATCACAACGGAACTTGTTTTCATAAGAATTTCTTCAGCTAGACTACTTCATAATCGTATTAATTAGTCACGAACTACATCACCACGCACGTATCGTCCATTAAATTTTTTGAGTTACACTGCTCATCATTTATATACTTTTACTCCTGAAATAAAGTTACACAAACAATAATAGAATTTTATTCGATAGATTTGACAAGGAAAAGTCTCAAAAGGACTAATCATTCATGTAATGTAATGTTAATCAAAAAAATTATTTTTTTAGCCGACATGCAACAATGTAGTACAAACAAAGATTAAAAACCCTCGACACATACTTATATATATAATTCTTCATAAACTGATTCCAAAAAAAAAATTAAATTTTCATTTTAATTAACTTGGCTTAATATATCATATCCTTTTTTTATGATTAATTATGCCTAAAACTTTAAAGAGAAAAAATAATGCTATTAATTCAAATACTGATGAAACATATTTCAGTTTAAATCACGAAACGAATAATTTTACCATCGATGTCAAACCGTCATTTCCTCCCAATTTAACAGCAAATGATCTCATCAAAAATTCTAATAAATTTAAAACATCAAACAAAAATAGAGCAAAAGCATTTCCAAACGCTTTTATCGCGTACAGAACGGCGTTAACTAAAGAATATAATAATAAAAACATTAAGTTACCACATATGAGCCAACTTTCTAAGATCGCAACAAGGTCTTGGGACAAAGACTCACAAGATATCAAAGATTTTTACAATAAGCTAGTTGAGGATGCTAAATCTTTGTATAAGCAAAACAACGTTCAAATCGTATTTGATAAGCATATGAATGAAGTTGAAAACAATCAGAAAAGCGCAGAATCGGACTACGCCAAAAGAGACATTGAGATTTTTCCTTTTGAAAATACAACCTTTACACAAAATTCAGCAAGTGGCTTTCTCCCTACTCAGGAATCCACCATCGATGTCCATTCCTTCCATTATAATAACGTTAATTTTCCGAATAGAAGTTCTACTTATGGTCCACCAGTTAATTACCCTCTCAATTACGCTTCTGAAGTTCCATATGCAATGAATACAACGAGTAACGATCGAGAAGAATATATTAGAATTTTGGAACAAACGATTTATTATTTACTTTTATCCTAATCGATTTATTCCATAATTGGAAATTTGTATGAATTTTAAATTTATCACTCACTTGTTATTTAAAATTAATTTATTATTGGCACGTCTATTTAACGTGACTCATCTTAACCATAATAAAGAAATTTATCACATTATTTCAAATTAATTCGATTAAATTTTATTTTGCATGGTTAAATATTAATGTTTTGGCGAATTAAATTTTAATTGATAGCAATTGTGGACGATCTAAATTCAAAATTAGATTTTTTATTACCATTGAAACTTGTCGAATTCGGGATCTGTAATTATTAACGGGTTCGAGTTCAATATGCTTCGACCCAACGGATACAAAACATATTCTGCATGAGAATTTGCGCCTTTGTTTATAAATCGTAGCCACATATATTCCTTAATTTATTTAGAAAAAAAAATCTCAAAGAAGGCAAACCCAGAGACTGGACTCGTATTCGTTTAACTCGAGACAACTCGAGTTAAATTCTGATTCGAGTCAAAATTTTCTTAATTCGAGTCAGAATTCGAGTTGACTCGAGTTAAACCTACTCGAGTCCACTTCAAATTTATTAAGTCCGGTACGATCTTAACTAACAAAAAAATATTGCAAAAATTAAGAGAGGGCGGACATCCGGAATAAGCTATCCCGAAAGACAAATTTTACTAAGAATAAAAAAAAACCCTGTCTAGAATTAAAAGTATGATTAAATGAAATAACAAAAAAATACCTTTTATTTTATGGATTCAAAGAAAAGGGCAAAAGTTAAAAAAACTATCGAAATCATTCTACTGGAAACGAAACTAAAAGCAATCCAAATATACCTTCATAAAAGACGCAAAGATTTAAAATCGTTCAATCGTTGCCGATCGTCTGATCCGACATTTCTAAGAACGATCTAGCTAAATTTATGTTAGGACAATATTTTCAAAAATTTAATTTGTTCGTAAAAAGCAGAAAATAATGAGACCTCCCGAAAACTTTAGGAATAACTCATTAAATAATTTCTGTCTACAGAAAATAAAATTACATTGCTAGAAATGGGAGGTAAGCTATTAAAATCACGTTACGGATCATATTATTTACTATGTTCGTAAATCGATTTTAATAGCAAACCTCCCAAATATGTTAAGTATAAAGAAGCTACAACCACTGCTTAGCCAAAGTAATGAAATAAAATGTCATATATGTGATTAGTAGATATAGTAAACCACTTCAATGAAATGCATTCTGATTTAAAGATTAATAGAAGCACACTTTCAAGGAATGTATATATAAGAAACTATAAATCTTATTTTTTTTTCTAGAATTTTTATTCATTTATAAGAATAACCTAACTATGGGGACCCGCATAGCAAAACCTTGAGTTACGTCAATTTCGAGAAAATCGAAGTTTAAGTTAACCAATCAATTTTTGAATAAAAAAAAATTTTTTTCAAAAACGGCCTTTATAACATAGAATGAAATTTTACACAAATGTAATTGAAAAAAAATTAAGCTTCCATTTCCTTCTTTTGATAGACATTTTTTTTTTTTTGAGATTTCAACATTTGTAAATACTAAAAAAAATAATAATAATGAAATGGCAATATCACAGAAAAAAACAGTTGGCTTAGGACAAGTAATATCACAAAAGGGCAAGTCAACACCTCTTGTCACTTCAAAGAAAGTGGTTTAATTCCGATTATAGAAGGTATAATATCAAAATCAAAAGTAAAGTCATGACTTGTAACTTTTTATAAGGCCATGCAACTTCGAAATTTCGGTTCACGTAACATTGAAATTTTAAAATCGACCCGGAGACCCGGAGGTTATTAATGATTATTTTTTATTAATAAAAAAAGATTATATATAAATATTATGCCATCTGATTGGTCAACCTTTAAGGGGATCAGATTCTGTGACCCAGCCGTGTCAGTTTACGAAAATTGGAATATTTTTTTTATAGTAAAATTTTTATCATATGACCTTACATTATAAAATCGGCATATCAGATTTTGTTTAAAAGGAAGTGGAGAAAAAATGATTTACATATCTTTATTTGTGTAATAAAAATTTATTTGTGTGATATAGAATATAACAATACATATAAAAAACTTACATATGAATATAATAAAAAAAAAAATTAAAAAATTAAAAAGATCGGGATTAACTTTATCTAGACCATTACAAACAATTAAACATCTTTATAAATGCAATAATACCAAATATCATTTTATTTATAACTTAATGAAGGAACTATCATAACTAAATATCAAGAAAGTAGTACAATAACCATATCTAGCGGCGACGAAGTCGCCGCACACCAACCTAACCTAGTTTAGTATACTAGAAAAAGAACGATCGGAACAACTAAATGTATGCTTGAGAGAGAGAGAGAGAGATTTGATTTTTAGTGGTTGATTTACATTCTAATGACGAATTTTGAAAAAATATTTCTTTATTAATTTGTATTCTTTAATTAATAAATTTATTTCTAAATGATAAGCACTTAAAATTTATAAATAATGTAATGCATCAACCGGGTTTCTTGTCAAAGGAGCACCTTTATAATCGCTATATATGGGAGGTTTGCTATTAGAATCGAGTTACGAACATAGTAAATCATATGATCCGTAACGTGATTTTAATAGCTTACCTCCCATTTTATTAAAAATAAATTTCGGTAAAGCATTGCGAATTCTTTCATTAACTCGAATACTAAATCGAATTAACAATTATTTCAATAAAAAAAAACACAACTTTTTTATAAATTAAAAGCTTTATGAATTTTATTATTAATAAAAAAAACTCCGTGATAATGCTGCGCCACATATATTTTGTAATTTTATAATCTTAAAATTATCGTATTTGGCTAAACCAAAACCTGTTAAGTTTTAAAAGGTCATTAACGTCCCTAATTTCAGGTTTCTTTTTTATTCTTCCGGGTTAATTTTTTTATTAAACTTTATATCATTTCAATAAGTAATATCAAAAAATATTTTATTTGCGAGAGAAAGTCTATATTATTTAAATTAAAACATTAGCTTGCATAAAACACGTCAAATTAAACAAGTTCAATTGATTAATTAAATTAATATTTAAAAAATTTAGTTTGAATTAAAGAATTTTCATATTGATAACGTTTCATTGGATATCAATTAGCCTATTGCGTTACTACATGGGCAGGAATAACCTCCTGGTTGATAACTAGCACAACTTTCAGAGCTGCAACCATCTGGATATGAAGAACATCGGATAGTCGATACATCTACACAATCTTTTGCATTTATACTCCAACCGTTTACATAATTTTGACAATAATCATAGTGCCAGTAATCAGCATAGTTAACAAATTGCTCAATTGTATTCATGATATCGGGTTTATAATTAATACCCCCGAATACACAATTGTTGTTATGTATTAACTGACCACAGTCATATCTACCAATAACCACGCAACCACCTCCATATGGAGTAGCAATTCCTTCTGCCAAACAACATGAACCACAGAGATCTTGATCTACGTGGTTACAATAGGTAAAGCCATAATGATTGAGGATGGTGCTTGCCACTGCTGCATTAAGGGTAGGTTGTGCAAAGTTCCTAACATCTACACTACCAAAATTAACTAATTCGATGGGCATATAAAAAGGTGCTGCAAGCCAATAAGTTGAAGGTGTGAATACATCAATATTTCCATTCACCATATTGGGCAATTTACCAATAATAGTTTGTAAATATGAATCTTTATCTGAACCAAAATTTTTAAAAGTATTTTTCATCCAACCAGTGGCATCAAAAGGCACTCTGTAGTAAAATTCTGTTAAATATACAGTTCGTTGTAATGGGTTTCCACTTTTATCAAGAAAACTTGGTTGATCTATAAAAAAAAAAAAAAAATAAGAATTAAGAATATATTTAATTTTTTAAAAAATATACCATATACTTGATAACAGTATATATACACATACCAGAAACTGAGTCAACAAAGATTGTTCCTACTTTGAGTAAATTCAAATTAAAATGATCAGTGAATAATTGTAGTGTGCCAGTAATATCATAAGAAATCGAGTCATCCGGTGCATGATTATAGAATGGAGCAAAATCGGTTAGATGATCATAAATATTTTCAGAAATGTTACTAAAAGAATATTTTAATCCTAGGTAGTGGTTCTGATAAAAGCTAAAAGCATTATCTATTGTTGCAGCTAAAGATAAAGCAGCAGGTTTTTGTCCCATAAATGGCCATCGAGCCCCATCATGTTCAAAATCAAAGATAGTTTTAGGATCATACATTTGATTGGAATAATCGTAGAGACAATCAAAATTATTTTTATCATCTTTGCTAGTTATTGCGGTGTTGTTGTCTATGTTGTAATTATTTTTACAATAATGCATAGCAAGGTTAAAAGAAAAAGGATAATCTGGATTAGGAGTATCTCCAACACTCAAAACTTTGGCTTCCAGATCAACTGGCCACGTGGTTGGGTTGTTCACACAGGTATAAGGAAGCTGTTTACTAGCAACCGGCGTAACTGTCTTTGTTTTATTATCTACTTTTAGGTCAAATGACCAACCACAATTATTTACACACCCGTACATAGTGACATTAAGTACAAACCCAGTTGAGGTTTGATTATTGGATTCTATTTTCTTGACCTTTGTGGAATTGGTATAAAAATGAGCGTCGTGCTCGTTGATGTGGATTACATCATCAGTAAAGGTGAGTTTGCATATTCCATAGGATAAACCTATGGTAATCCAAGAATGAACCGATGAAATAATGGTTAAAATCAGAAAGGACAATGTTATGAATGTTTTACTCTGCATTTTTTTAACAAATGGGTTTGAATATATTGAACGAAAAAAAATCTCTGTTGAAAAATTACATTTATATATACTTGTTTCGAGATCGACAAGATAGTCGGAAATGTTTATGTATTCCAAATATCTCTTTTTATTCCTTTTTACTTTATTATATTTTTAAAACTTTCTCATTTTACTCTTACACTGTCAGACATTGTTAATTTTTAAAAAGAAGAAAAAATTATTAGTTTGATTCATTAAATTTACGTACCTGCACATGAGTGTTACACTAACCTGTTTAGAGATCGAAACCGGTTAATTTTTAACCGTTAACCGGTTAAAATGAATTTAACTCCGGCCGTGGGTAATTGACCGGTTATTAACCGATAAAGAATTTTTGAACCGGTTCTAACTTCTAAACCTGTTATAGTAATTACGAAAATTTTATATCAGAGTAAACCAAGTTAGTAACTAAAATTTAAATTCAAATCAAGAAATTAATAAAATGCAATTTAATGATTTTTTTTGTTAGGATTAACTTCTCAATCCACATTTTTTATTAGGTAGAGGTTTATCTTTTTCTTCGGATCTTTTTCCGTATCCGTAACAAAATATTAATTCGAGATGCTGCGGAAAATACTTTTTAATTTTTTTTCTTTTATTTTTTATTCTGATCATTGCATTCCCTTTTTAAGCTCTTACTTCAGGTTAGTAATAAAAGTTTAGTTCAGCTACTTGCTATAGAATTCTAGTTAAAAATAAAAATAATTTCTTACATTTATTTAAAAAATATATGTATATAAATTTTGGACAGATTAATTGACAGCGTTCTTTTATTTAGTCGTGTATTTATCATATTAGTTTTCATATCATGAGTTAGATTTTTTTTTACTTATTACAGATGAAAGCGCTAAGATATGATTGGCACAGTTATATGAAAAATATTAATTTTAGGCGCAAACGTATTTAAAAGAACTGGCTTAATCTTTGTTTGCAATAGAAAGGGGAAACTGCCAGAGAAAATTTATTTTTATACTAGGTGTAACCCACCTCGTTGCGTCGGGCCTATTAAATTAAGAAAGTAATAGTATTATTTGTCATGTGAATAGGTCTAGTTTTTAATTATGTTTACAAATTCATTACAAAAAAAAAAAAAATTATTATCGCAAAAAAAAATTCCACCACACCGATCTATTGTTATTACTAAGATTGAATTAGTATTAGAAAAATTACACAGTATACCAGCCAATGGAAATGTCACAAAAATTGAGGGCAAAATTTTTTTAATATACAGTCGACCTCCTCTTTAATCACATGGCATTCGGTCCCAATTTTTTAAATAATAAATTACCTTCTTTTTAGTCACAATATCAAGTATAGTCACTATCACACAAATAGTTAGAACGATATTATTAGTTAGTATAATCACGTTAGTCACGTGAAATATACATCATATCAATCAATCATGCGACACTTAGAAGTTCTCAAGCACCTAAATCAATGGATCGGAAATGAAATTAATCTGCAGATTCAACAAAATATGAAGGCGTAGACCATTTTTTTTTCACGGAGTTACTTTGATTAAAATTTATCATTGATGGAGTATAAAAAGAGATCATTCAAGCATTCTTTTTACACCATGAATCTTTCAAAATCGTTACCCAGCAGCGCCAATGTCATATCATATTACTTTTAATTCTAAAAGCTATTATAAAAAAAAAAATATATTGGGAAATTCAAACAAGAATAACCAATACTTATCATCTTCTGACTTTCACTCATTCTATTTGTCTTCTCTTTACCAAATACAAATAACATAAGAGCCTAACGTCAGCCAAGACCTAAAATTGAAGGGTTTTGGACAAATGTTTTCCCATTTTTACTAGATGAAGAGGTTATAATTCTTTTCAGCGGCACTTTTATGTTACTCTTGCCACTTTTCACGCTATTGTTGAAATTAAATATGAAAAATGTTGAAATCTGCAAAGAATTGCTGAGGATGTTTCTTTTATTTGTTGAATAATTTGTTTCTTTTTTTTTTGTTATTATTTTTTGAAGACATAATGGTTAATTGTATTTAAATTAATTGTAATAATTGAGCATCACCCTGATCACTAGCCAATCACATTAAAGAAGATGCTTGAAAACCTTATTAAACTTTATTTTTTTTTGCAAAATCAGCACTTTAAACCTTTCCTTTTTTTTACAAAATCTGCACTTAAATTTTTCCTTTTTTTACAAAAATTCACACTTTAAACCTTTTCTTTTTAGAGAAATCTCTCACTTTGAATTTTTTTTTTTTAGAAAATATCACGCTTTAAATCTTTCTTTTTACAAAAATTTTTTTAAATGAATCTTACACTTTCCTTTTCTTTACAAAACTCGTCTTATAGTAATATAAACTATAATGCTACCTACACACTTACAAAAAATAAAAAGAGAACGAACTGCTATTAATGTTGATATAAAAAAGGAAATATGCAAATATATGTTAGCATATACCAATGCAAACATGCTAACGTTGCTTTGTTCTTCAATACAACATATAATTATATATTAATAAAACAACTATTACAAAAATATGGCAAAGTTATGAAAAATGGCTAATAGTTCTTCTAAATTCAAAAACTTCCCACATATTTCATTATCGTTCTGTTCAGTTTCCAGAACTTGATAAAGCTTTGCATATTTGGACATCACAAGCAATTGCTACTAGACTTCTTTTAACTAACACAATATTATAATAAAAAGAACTTAAACTAGCACAGATGTTGAATATTAATAAAGAGCAATTAAAATTTACTAATGGCTGAGTGTATAAATTTAAAAAATACAATGGTCTCAAAAGGTTAAGTTTTAAAAGAAGCTAATAGCGCATCACTTGCTACCCTTTCAGAAGAATGATTAAAATTACATAACATTTTAGTCACATATAATGAAGAAGATATTTATAATGCTAATAAAACTGGACCTTTTTTCAAATGAAACCTAACTAAACACTTAGTACAGACGTAATTGCAGACTGTAAGAAGATAAGATCATTGTAACAGTTTTATATAAGAAATTTAATAATAATTTATGTGAACTAAAATTTTTTATTAAATTTTATTAATTTTTTAAAATTTTATAGGATAAAAGTTACATTTCTATTCTCTTTTGTACTAATGCTATAGGATCTAATAAGTTTCATCCTTTTGTAATGAAAAATCACTTAATCCACAATGTTTTAAAAATTTTAACAAATCAGTTCTACCTATAATCTATCGTGCTAACTCAAAATATGGATAAGATCAGATATATTCATTGATTGGCTTAATTATCTTAATAATCATTTTCATATAATGAATAAAAAAATATTGCTTTTATTGATAATGCAGGTTCTCACTTTAACCTAAAGATCTTTGAAGAAATAACTAATTCTAATTTAAATGAAGACGATGAAAAAGATGAGAAGAAAGGAGTAGTTGCAGAATTATTCCATTCAGCTCAAAATAAAAAAAAAAGATTAAAAAAAAAATTAACAAAAAAAAAATCTGATATTAAACTTAACAATATTGAGCTTGTTTATTTACCTTCAAATACTACTGCTTATCTTTAATCAATAAATGTAGGAATTATTTATAGCTTTAAAGCTAAATATAAAATAGAATATTGTAAATATTTAATTCGTCAATTTGATGCTGGAATAGATTATGTGAAGTAAGTTATAAATTGTTTTACTGTTTTATACATTATAATAAATTTACTGATATCAATTATCAAATTTATTTAGAAATAAGTTGAATCTTAAAAAAGTTATTGAATTTATTGCTAAAGGATATAATAATGTTACTCAAAAAATAATTCAAAACTGTTAGATCAAGACGGTATACTTCCATCTTATGTGAATGATGATGACAAAGATTTTGATTTGCAAGATTTCGAATTAGATTCTGATACTGACAAAATTAAAGATCTTCTTGATAATTTGTTAGAGACTGATAATGTGCAAAAATATTTTTAAAAACTTGATCATGAAATTTCAGCTAAAAAATATCTTACCGAAAAATAAATTATTAATCTTATACAACTTGAGGTAAAAGGAAGTGAAGAAGATGATGATAACTCTAACAAAAAAATACTTTCAGTATTAATAAAAGAAGCAATTAGTAGATTAAAAACATTTGTTACCTATTTTTAACAACAAACTGATCCTGAATTCAATGTTAATGTTTTATGTATTTTTTGAAAGTATCTAAAAATATCTAAAGTTTAAGAGTTTAATTCAAAAAACAAAGCACACTTGATATATTCTTTGAGAAATAGATATTGTTTGACTAATGTAATTAGTAATTACCTTTTAATAGTATATATAATATAATTTTTGTTAATAATAAACTGCTGTTATATATAATTTTTTGTTAATTCAAATTTAAATAAATACAGTTCATGACATAAATATCCAGAATTTTATCAGTAGCACAAAAAAAGTCCCTATACTACCAATTTATATCTGACCAAAACAAAAATCAAAATAGCAATTTTTTAGCTATTTATAGATATAAAAATAATGCCACAAAAATTTCATGTGATTAT